TTTACCCAGTACCTTTCTTCTGAGTCTCCCTTTTCCTTCGTGGTGAGTCGTTCTGTAAGGAGAACGCCTACTGTGTTGGGCGTTGTGTCAGGTGACATGGGCAGTACAAGCAGTCTCAGTCCTCGGACAGACGGGAAGTCCCATTTTATAGCTGAAGGAATCAGGGATTAGATAAGTTGAGAAACTTACGCCAGTCTACATATCTACCTATTAGGTTGTAAAATGGATGTGTTTGACTACAAAGCATATTAGTTTTTCCTTGTTGCCTTTCAGTATTTTGGCGCTGGCTAGATGTTAGTGTATGCTTGTGTTACCCTCCAAGGATTCCTATTTTCTATTCACCCACAAAGTCCATGTTTTTTATTTTTATTAGGTTATTTTCCCATTAATTAAAATATTTGTGTATCTCTTCTATGTCTACTACATGCAGCTGGAGTAGAGTGATTAAGAGGGGGATAGTAGATGAGGTCAGGGAGGTAACAGGGAGCTGGATCAAGAGTTCTCTCTTACAGCTTACTGAGAACTCTGCTGCTTTGTCTGAGGCAGCTGGGGAGCCATTGGAGGGCACTTTTGGGTTTTGAGCAGAGCTGTGATATGATGTGACTTCCGGCTCTAACAGGATCACTGCTGCATTGCATGGATTGAAGGGGGCCCAGGGCAGAAACAGGGAGATCAGGGAAGAGTCTACTGATAACATCTGTGATACCAAATTTATGTGTCACCTTGGTTGCACCATAGTGTCCAGATATTTGATCAAACATTATTCTGGATGTTTCTGTGAAGGTATTTTTTTGGATGAGATTAACATTTAAATTGGTGGATTGTGAGTAAAGCAGATTGCCCTCCATAATGTGGGTGGACCTAATGCAATCAGTTGAAGAATAGAACAAAGACCAACCTCCCCTGAGCAAGAAGGAATTCTGCCTGCTGACTGCCTTTAGACTTGGACTGCAACTCTTCCCTGGGTCTCCACCTGCTGGCCTACTCTGCAGACTTTGGATTTGCATCTCTATAATTGCATGAGCTAATTCCTTAAAGTTAATCTCTCTTTCTCTCTCTGTACAGATCCTGTTGGTTCTGTTTCTCTGGAGAACCCTTACTAATACATCATCCACGCAAGAGGTAGGACAGTGGCTTAGACCAGGATGGTAGTAGTGGAGTGGTAAGCAGTGGTGCAATTCAGGATATATTCCTAAGATAGAGTCAAGGACTTTGTAGCTGGATCAGATATGGAATGTGAGTGGGAAAGCAATCATGGATGACACTGGAGTTTCTGGCTGAGCAACTGGAAGGTGTTACCATCAACTGAGAAAGGCAAGACTGCAGGAAGAACTGGTTTGTGAGGGAATACCACAAGTTTGGTTTTGAACATGTTAACTATGAAATTTCTGTGAGACAGCAGTAACTGTAGGCAGTCTGGAGTTGAGGAAAGAAGTCTGGCTGGAGCCTAAATGTTTGGGAATTTAAGGCTTTGAGACCAGTGAAAGGAGATCACCAGACTCTGGGTGATAGATCCTAGTGGGTAGGGGCAGAGCTCTCTGGGTCCAAGGACCCAGGCCTGGAGCACTTGGACGTTTAGGGGTTGATAAGGTGGAATGAACAAAGGAGACTGACAAGGGACAGCTAGAAGGGTTAGAGGAAAACCCAGCACTGGCTTTAAGTAGCCAGCCCACTTTAAGTAAAGCACTGTTTGCATAGTGTCCTGTATGTCATCTTTTAGTACTTGTGTGGAGTTGTTTTGTGTTGTTTTCCCCACATAGGAACTGCTTGAGGGTATTCAGATTTATTATCATAGAATTTCCACCTCTTAGTGCAGCACCTGGCATGTAGTAGGAACTCAGATGGTTGTGTGTATGAATGAACTGCCTTAGTAGGCTCCATTATTGAGAGCTTACAATGTGCCGGGTCCTTATTCTGGAAACGAGAGTTGCTTCCTTATCCACTCCTGCCTTGATTGAATCGTAAAATCTGCCTTATTCCTCTGACCATGGCTGATTTCCCTGTGTGTCAGTGTATACAGTCAATCCAATAGAAATCAGAATATCCTCACATCTGTACCATAAAATATTTCCAGAAGAGTGTATCTCACTGTTTATACTATCACCACCCTGGACTAAATAAACCACCTTCATCTCTTGCCTGGATTATCACAGAAGCCTTCTATTTTTAATCTCCTGGCTTCTCATCCTTGTCCCCAATAATTTATTCTAGCACCTAGAAGAATACCTGGTGTGAGAGGTAGATGCTCAGTTAATATTTGTTGAGTGAACAAATTCTTGAGTAAAGATTCACACCTAAGGTTCTTTGAGCACACGTGCGACTTTTGTGGGATAGATTGCTGTTAGAACGAAATGTAGAAATGTAGACTGTCGTGGCTTACGGAGCGTTCCTCCATCTGGCACCTGACTAATCTGCTGCTCTCTTATGCTGTACTCTGGTCACATTGGCATTTTTCCGGTGTCTTGAAGATACCAAACTCATTTTCCCCTTGGGGCTTCCACATCTATTCTTTCTTCTGCTTGGAGTGCCTGCCCTCTTCTCCACTCCCTCTGCCCTATTTCTTCCCGTGACAGGCTCCTTTCGTTGTTTTGGGGCCCTGTGCAAATGCTTACTCCTTGGAGAAGTTTCCTGTGACCTCCATGGCTGCAGAAGTCTTCCTGCCACCTTCTTTCCCAGTCTCTCTAGTCTATTTCAACTTTTTTTCCTCCTCTAAAGCACTGTCACATGCCCCAAGTTTTATTTGTTGGTGATGTTTTTGGCATCTCCACCATCTCGAAGGGACCAGAATATTCTGAGGCTTGTAGAATTGGTAGTGTTGTCATTAACTGAGATAGAAAACGCCAGTTGAAGTGTTTGAAGAGTTCAATGCTTTTAGTTTTCATGTGTCTGTTGATTCCTTTCTTGATTTTTATTTATCCTTTTACAAAACAGACCTCTGTGACTTTGGTTTTGAGTATGTTGATTTTAAGTTGCTTGTGGGCATTGAAGAGGGGGTGTCAGGTAGGCTGTTGGCTCTCTGCATTTGGAGCTCAGAGGGTAAGTTGGGGCTGGAGGCAGTGCAGGGGCCTGACAGACTGATGTGAATCCCAGCTCTGCTGTTTACTGTCTTTGTGATGTTGGGCAAGGCATTGAACAGGTCTCAGGCTATTTGCTCATCTGTCAAATGGGAGTAATATCACCTACTTGGAAGGTTAGGATTAAGTGAGTATATACATACAGTGCTTAGCACAGTGCTGGGATGTAGAAGAATGACTTTCATATTATTAAATGGTTTGGGCTGGTGAATAATGCTAACTTTTGAGAGCTTACGATGTGTCAGGTATGCAGAATACTTTTACATGGATTAGTATATTTAATCTTTACTCTTTCCTAGCTGAAGCGTTTAGCTACTGTGCCAATACTGCTTTCTCTTTATACAACATAGCTGAAGCTTTCCTGGTAGTCCTCTCCTCCGTCTGCATCCCCCCTTTTATTTTTAACCCTCATTCCTTTACCAACCGTAGGTACTATAAACAGCCCATGTATAGAAGTGTGGATCTCCTAATATTCAGGAAGGTATTTGTGTCAGAAGTTCCATTTGATTTGTAGATTTTCTAGAAACAATTATAGTTTTAAGTTACATACACCAGTACTGTCCCAAGAAACATGGTTATAGGTTATTGCCGAAAACAAAGTGAGAGGTAGAACTCAGAAGGAATACCAAAACTCTGTATTTTTCCACTCCCTTTCAAGTCTGGTTGTAGAATTGATTAACTGCATTCTGGGTGACTTAGAGTGGCATAGGATTCATTTTCATCCTGGACTAGTGGAATGACATAGCTGTCTATAGCTTCTTGAGTCACTGAAAGCTTTTTGATAGGAGTTTTATTTAAAAAAATTATCTTCTATCTGAACCGGGAGGATGGCCCTCTCTTGAAAGTGCTGCAGGCTGAGTCATTTCTTTTATTCAGTAGCTATTTGAGGTGCCTTGGAGGAAGAATGAAATGTTTTGGGTTTCTTCATGGTGTATGTTTCCTGATATACATGGTGAGGTTGCCAGTTCTAGTGCTGGATTTCATAGACAAACTCTAAGTTCTGTTTAAAACAAAAATTTTGTTCTCACCATTAAGGCAATAATATTGAAATTCTTGTTTGCTACTTTTTATACTCACTGAACAATAAGCAATTATGTACTTTTGGGGACATTTATCTCTCCCACAAATAGTTTCCCTCTAAGAAATCTTACAGTGATTGAAGAAGCCCATAGATAGTTATGTCATGAAAACTGAACAAAAAGGGGACAGGAATGAGAGAGATTTTTATTTTAGATCCACTTAGGGCTGTGTTAACATTTACGTTGTCTTATTAAACCCTGGTCAGATTGACACCATTTATTACGTGGTTAGGATTTAAGACCAAATTGAGGCCAATTCAGAATGGGGTAGAAGTTGGCCAAGAGAGCAGGGAAAAATGAGTGAGAAGGTTTTTTTTTTGGACTGTATACTTAGTTCCAATCTTGAATTTCTTTTTTCTTTTTACATGAAAAAAAGAAACCAAAAAATCTCCAAATATAAAGTTATAGACATTAGATTCCTTGGACTTACCTTTAAGAATGGTAAAGATTCTGGCACTTTATCATAAAAATAAATCTGACTAATGAATAGTTTCCTACTTTAATGAAATTATGAAATGTTGAATTTTATATATTAAATATTTTGCTATTTTAAATGAACATAGTATCGGTTTAAATTATGTGTCTGCACTGTTTTTTTTTTTTTTTGAGTAGTAGCTACTAATGTTAAACCAGTCCATTTCTTTTTACTGATATAATATAGAGCTGTGTTTTTTATACTTTGCCTTATTTTTGATTGAGATTAAAAATGAATCTGAGTGTTGGGATGAAACACAACTTTATTTTCAAACTGTACATTATTTCCTCCTTTGCTGCTGTCTTCCCCTTCCCACACTGAGATTGACTGATCCGGAGGTGATTCATGTTATGTTGTAAAGATAAGATTCACATTAATCATTTGTTTTATTTTATAATTAGCTTCCTTTTAGAATAAAAGTCAAGGTTAATGTCTAAATTTCACACAGAATTTGTCAAATTTCATATTAAATAAAATACCTTAGTTCCTGTGAGATGTGTTTGAAGTATAAGAAAATACTTCAAACATTTTTTTCAAAATATTTACAAAAAATTTTAGTTAAAAGCATACTCTTCAATGAAAACATTGCATTTTTAGAGTGGTTAAAAAAGGAACACTGTTTAAAACATAGGCTACATCCATGAGAATTCTAACTTCTGAACTTGCGACAAAGAGAAACATGAAGTCACATCACTTTTTCTTATTCTTAATATGAAGAGTTCTGATACTAAGATGGTCATAAAAATTCCTCTGGTTATAAGTAACTTAACTTGATGGGTAATAGTATGGTAGGTTCCACATTGTGTGTGAGAATGTTGGGAACCTGTTCTTTGTGTTTTTGTCTACGTAACTTGAAATGGTGGGTATTTCCTCTTTGTCTGGACTCTTGGGGCTTTCACCTGGGATCGGAGAACGAGCCAGGCAGTCTGTGGTCCGAGACTCTTCCAGGTCCTCTTGCTGCTCGCCACCTCTGTCAGTACTACTTAGGAAGTCTTTCAGAACTTGCTTGAAGATGTAGACTATTTCCCATGGCAGTACATCATTTTCTGCCAAAACTTCTCGAAATCTAAAGGAAAAGCAGTAATGAGTATTAAATTCAGCAAATTTCTTTTGTCATATCCTTTTATCTCCAAAGTACAGCTTACAAAATGGAATCATATAGTAGTTAACCACCTTGTGAGTAATCTGCACATTGCTTTAAAGTTATGCTTCTAATAAAGAACTTCTGAATGTGGTTTAAAAACATTTCCTAGCCAGTAAGATATCAACAGATATTTTTGTCCAGCCTTTCCTTAGGGATTTTGGTTGCTGGGTATTTGATACATATGATTAAAGAATTCGGAGGCCGGCCAGGTGGCATAGCGGTTAAGTTCCTGCACTCAGCTTTGGCGGGCCCGGGGTTCCTGGGTTCGGATCCCAGGTGCGGACAGATGCACCACTTGTGAAGCCGTGCTGTGGCGGCGTCCCATATAAAGTGGAGGAAGATGGGCACGGATGTTAGCCCAGGGCCAATCTTCCTCAGCAAAAGGAGGAGGATTGGCAACAGATGTTAGCTCAGGGCTAATCTTTCTAAAAAAAAAAATTTTTTTTGTATGGTAGAATACAATTTCCAGTTTAAATGTATGAGGAGCTTAGACTTGACAGTAGCAAATATCATAAGGAGAGAACATAGTATTTTTACCTGCTGAGAATGGTTCCGGTTTGACAAGGCTGAACTTGTGAGCAAAGAACTTCAAGTTGTCTTTGTTCAGTAGCTGGGATGGTTGTGTGTGGATTCTGATAGTTTCTCAGCCAGTTGTAATCCACACTTGTTTTTTTCACTTTTTGTTCATTTTCAATCTCTTGTATTAATCTCTCTCGCTCCTTTAGATGCCATTTTAATTCTCGAAGCAGAGTCTTTGTTACTACATCTGAGCCAGGGTACTGTGTGGGTTTGTAGGAATTGTATTTTGGCCATTTCATCCAGCCAAAAAGTGGCATTTTTAGCCTATGGAAACATTCTCACTTGTTTATTTGCATAAAATGTTATGGTTCTGATGAGCAAATATTTATTTCTTTACAATAATTTTGTCAAAAAAGTGCATGAATTTTTCACTGGTTAGATATACTAGGTCAAAATAAGATTAGAACATGGATTAAAGTCTTTTAATTTCTAACTAGGTCAATGCCAAAAACCAAGCTTTGAAGATACTAAATAGCTAAGCAGAAATGAAATAATACAAAGTCAGAGATAATCTACAGACTGAACATTTTCTGAAAATAACACTAACACTTGCTATTAAAAGTTCTTAGGAGGCTTTAAAATATTAACATATAGGAAAGTGCTATCTACAAACATACTTTTGACTGTGGTTTTGTACAGAAAAGGTTTAAAGCATACCTGTTAAGTGGATGGATCCGATGTGGTGATGTTGCTCAAGAGTTTACTTGAATTGGTGCTGAAGCTGTTTTTTACTCAGGCGTATCTTGTTCTCCTGGATGTGTCCCCTGTTGAAGGAATGAGCCTCCTTATTTACCCACTGAAACTGTGTTTGAAATAAATAACTTTCTGTGTTAGGAATGAGGTTGTGATGTCTTCATTTGGAGAGACTGCTCATTAATTCACCTTGTAAGTAAGCTAGAAGAAATGACAAAAATAACTTACTGTTTAATCTTCACAAATTATATAATGGTCTGACTTTTGAATGTAGCTCCATCTATTTGAAAAAGATGCCGGCAGCTACGAATTCCAGTCCTAAATGCATTTAGACATATCTTTGGTAATGAAATGAAGCACGGTTGTCTGAAGCACCACAGATGCGCTCCCAGCTAAAGCGAAGACTGTCGCATGATGTGATGCTCTGCTGTGCATAGCTGTGGGTCACAGTTTAGTGCTGTATTTTTATGCCTGTAGAGCTCTAAAAATAACACGTTGCTTTTATTCTTCAGCTTAACTTTCAGGCCGTTTAGAAGCCAGGTCACTGTCCCCTCTAATGAAAGCAGGAAAAACAGATCACATTTGACTATTTGCAAAATACACGTTCTGAGAAGGCTCATTATAATTGAGCAAAATAGACAAAAAATGCAGATATCAGTTGTGTGTGAAATATTTAGTAAATGTTACATTTTGTACTCATTTTGTTTTTCTAAGTAGTAGTTAAATTTTTATAGTTAAGCAAGTTGTAATGCTAGAGGACGTTATATATGCTTAAGTAGATAACTTTAAAATATACTTTATAATCTTTTTAAAAAGATGGTAATAAGGCAATAAGAGATTAAGGTCTGGAAAAAATAGAGATGTAAGAACATACAAAGTTCAAAACAAAATCTTATAATTCATTAGAAAATCATTTTAGTGTTTTCTTTTGGAGCTGAAGGTGAAACATTTACGTGCGCTATTTGGGCGAGTACTGCTGTGTGATGGTCCTTTCTGTGCTAATTTTCTGTTCACATTTCACATGTTGTGTCTTCTGCTCAACTGCAGACGGGTCTTGACTCTTTAGTTCTGTGTTAAATGACTATATAGTGGCTTTTCTTTTTACTGTATAATATTTCTTTCTTCTGTTACTTTTTCCTTCAAATGAACCATGATGAATAGACATCGTTTACATCAGACCTGCATGTCATGCATGATAAAGAGTGATGTGTGTGGTCATCCTACAGCTCCTGTTACTTACACATTAGAAAAAGCCAGGCGTCGGGATTCATCATCTTCAACTAGACGGTTTTCACGTTACATTGTAGTTAGTGCTATGAAAAGGAAAGGAGTAATGTTTATCATGACAGAACCATCCTCCCAGATTTTCTACTCAAGTTATGATGAATCCTGCTGCTTCTTCTTTTGAATAACCTTCTTGATATTGCTTTAACTTTTTTACTTTTTGCCTCTGAAATGGTAACAAAAATATCAGAAATACATTGGATACGGAACATAAACCAAATTTCTGTTCAAGCCCCCTGCAGTCTTGCATTATCCCTTCCTGCCCGGCTTTCTCTCTTGCTCTCCCCCAGAGTCTCTTCTGTTTCAGCCAGGCCTGACTGCCCCAATGCTGCCACGCTCCTCTGACCTTCAGCTTTGGTCACACTGACTCTGTCTTCTGAGGAGCTTATTTTCTGTCTTTTCCGTGTACACATTGTAATTTTCTTTTTCAGAGCCCAACTAATTTTTAAACTCCAAGTAATTTTTTTCTTCTGTCTGAGGGAGAACGTCACCTTTTTTTCTTTGGTCCTACTGTTCCTTTGAACTCTGGTTTTATTTATGTTTCATGGTAAACTTATGGAAAGACTGCTCTGTGTTCTTTTTTTTTTTTTTTTTAAAGATTTTATTTATTCATTTTTTCCCCCCAAAGCCCCAGCAGATAGTTGTATGTCATAGGTTCACATCCTTCTAGTTGCTGTACGTGGGACTCAGCCTCGCGCTGGACGGAGAAGTGGCACCTTGGGGCGCGCCCGGGATCCGAACCCGGGCCGCCAGCATCAGAGCGCGTGCACTTAACCGCTAAGCCACGGAGCCGGCCCCTGCTCTGTGTTCTTGTTCTCTCTTCTTTCTTCCTGTTTTCTGATCTTTTCCGATTAGATTCTGCTTTGTCTTCCACTGTAATTGCTGGCTTTCAGTCACTCAGCAGATGTTTATTGACTGTGTCGTGGCCTGGATGCTGGTTAGGGCCTGGGGATGCAGCAGTGAACAGGACAGACCTAGTCTCTGCCCTCCTGGAGCCTGCCTTCTAGTGGGAAGACAAATACAAGTACACGAGTCATCCAGTAAGGTGGTCATGGATCGCCAGGGGTGGTATACTATACTCCAGGCCTCCTCCAGTTAGATGTGGAGGTCAGGGAAGGCCTTTCTGGGTAGGGGATGTCCTTTGAGTGGAGACTTAAAGATCAATGAGCCAGCCACACAAAGAGCTTCTTGAAGGCAATCTCCCTCTTCCACTTGACTCATTTAATACCTATCTTAGCATTGAGACTATTGCTAAAGTCTGACCATCACAGAACTTTTCTTACCACCTTAGCTCACATTCAGTACATCGTCCTTTGATCTTATTAGTGTAAACCAATTTTTCTGGTACTTAGGGTGTGTTACTTGTATTATTATGTTTTATTTTTTCTGCCCTATCTACTGAGATTATGATATTGAAATAGAGGCCAAATATCATTCTCTGATTACAGTAGTTCTCCTATACCATGTGGATAGAGAACATAAATGTTTGTAGATCAAGGTAAGGAAGGACCTTTGCATTAACCCTTCCTATTTATCAGGGTATAGCCAAGTTCACATTGGGTTTTATTTATCGAACATTTTAGTAAGTTAAAAAAATGAATTGTTTCTAATGAATTGCAACCTCATTAGGATATTTTGTGTGGAAGACGTAAAGCTTAAACTATGAAGCAATTAGGTCTGTTTCTTTTTGGTCGTTGTCACAGTTTTCCAGGCTACATCTTGTTAGTTGAATAGTACAAAATTTTATAAGACTCAAAGTAGGACCATATCATTCATAATGTGTCTGTGTGTATGTAAAATTTTAAGATATGTAAGGAAGTACATAAGAAGATAAGTTTGGAAAGATAAATTTTTGGAATCTTGAAGGACAAGCTAAGGAGCCAGGCACAACTTGTATGTATTTACAGTCAGGGCCTCCTTATATAGTACTCAACAGCATTTGATTGCGATTAAAGGAAGGTTTTTTGTTGTAAGGAGACTAATATCCTTCTGTTTCTAATTCCTTTGCTACTGAATTAAAAGTTCTGGATTATTATTATTTTTTTGGTGATTAAAGATGTAGTTAACGTTTGAGGAGAAACTATGATGTTAAATTTCTTTTACCAATATTATTTCTTCTTTAAAATATTTAGAATACACTAATACATGTGATTTTTAAAGTTAAAATCTATTTCTATGGGGTTGTTTATATCCTGTTGATTTATAGGGTTTCTCAGTGTACTCCTGTGTTGTGTACTGCAGTGTTCTTTCCAGTGACTGCTGTTCTTGCTCTTTAACCTTTATAGACATTGTTTAAAAGTTTTAAATTATAATTTAGGTAAGTTTATTGATATTTTCCTTTTCCTTTTTTGTGCTCTTGTTTAAGAAGGCCTTCTCTACTCCAAAGTTATACATGCAGAGGAATATTAGCTTTATAGGCTTCAGAAAATAAGTACTCGGGTGTTGAGTTGATTTGAGATTGCTGTGAGGTGTTGGGGGTTAGGCTCTTTTTGTCCCCATGTTGGATAGTCAGTATCCAAAGTAAGTGGTCATTGCTACACCCAGGAGATTTTCCTGGTTCTTCGTATGCTGGGTAATTGTGGTGTGTATCCTGGGCATTTAAAATATTGTGTTATGGGGCTCTGGGTCTTGTTTAAATCCTGTGTAGAATGCAGCCGACCAGTCTTCTGTGGGCTGTGGTTTCAAGGTCCGTTGCTTTTAGAGCCTTTGCAGTGCCATCTGGATCTGTCCTGCACTGTGCCACCTAGTGGCCATTCTGTAGCTCAAGTCTCAAAGTCTGTGATGGGCTGTGTGCGGTCAGTGTGTGCACGCCCAACCCAGGGGTGTGCCCGGCTGTTCATAAATGGCCTTAGGGGTCTGCGATTTCCCAAGTGCTTTCCTGTCCCTGGGGCTCCCCGCTTTTGGTCCTCTGGCCGGAAGGCTGGGGCTTTATTGCCCTGCTCTGCCATGCACTTCCTGCAGCTGCATCCGCCTACATCCACATCCCTGGCCAAGCAGAGGGAAGACAGAGAAAGAAAAGGCAGTGAGGGTTTCCCCCACCCTCTTGGAGAGGGAGTTCTCCCTCAGAGTTTGAGGTACGTGCTGCCCCTGGAACATGAGAGAATGGAAAAAAGAAAAATAAAAACTGGTGACTGCCCATTTGGAGCATTCAGAGTCCCCTTTCCTGCCCGAGGCATAACTAGAGCTGCTCTCCAGGGTGCTCTGTCTGTGCCAGTGCCCGCTTCTGCATTTTGCACTGTGGCGAGTTCAGGTCAGGGGATACCAGTTAAAAAGTGGTAAACTCGCCGCTGATTTGGTGGTGCTCTGAATTCTGGTCTTCTTCCACGGTCTGCCTGTTACCGTTTCCTTTTCAGAGTCCTCAAATAGCTGCTGATGCATTCTGTCCAGAGTTGACAGCTTCATTCCATGAGAGACACAAGATGCCGTGTGCTTACTTGATCGTACCAGAAACTGGAACTCTGGAATCATTCTTGACTCCTCTTTTTCTGTTTTTTCATGCCACAGGTCTAATACGTCAGCATATTCTGTGGGCTTCACTTCACGGCTGCCTCTCTCATCTAAGCCGCATGGTCTCTGGCCTTGGTTACTGTGGTGGTCTGTTAGGTGGTCTCCCTGCTTCTGCTGTGTCTATGCCCCTGTTACCCCACCCTCCTTCACCTGGTCAGAGCCATCCTGTTAAAATAGGAGTCAGATATTGTTATTTCTCTCTGCTCAAAACCCATCTCACTCAGAGCAAAAGCCAAAATCCTTATAATTACCCCTGCCAGTCCTCCAGTACCCCGCCCTCCCCTCCTCTGGGAACTCCAGCTCTTCCCGGTACCTCTAGGCACTCCCAACCTCTTCCAGGCTCCCTCTGCTGGAGCCACATGGGCCTCCCGCCTCTCCCTGGCTCACTTGCCTC